ATTTCTGGATTTTAGTATATGTCTCTTGTTTGATGTTGTTCTCGCTGGTTGTATTTCTATTTTTGTTTAGGTTATTACCTTTCCCCTCTCCTGGACAATACTTGACAACCATCCCTATTGCATATAGTTTTGTATTAGGTTAGAACCTTCTTACTTAGACAAAAGAGGAGATGTAGTGGATATCTGTTCTATCTATGACCTTGAAGCACCTCCCCTAGAGATGTAGCAGGTAACTGTCCCACCTACCTAGGGCCTTGAAGTACCTGCCCCTGGGGTGTGGCTCAGGGCTACCCTTAAGACCTGAGACTGAAGTAGGCCGCATTCTTTGCTCCCTCGTGGAACTGCGATGCCGGGACTGTCTCAGGCGGAAGAACAGTGTGGGACCAGGGCTCATCTTTCCAGGACCCTGCGACAATTCCTCTGTTCTGTCTTGTGAGTTTTACTTTCTTAATGAGCCCCTTTTCCCTTTAAGCAGACTCCGTGGATTTCTCACTATACTTCATGACATCCTGTGCCTGGCTCCCCTCACATGACGTCCTCCAGGCTCATCAGTGTTGGTGCGGACCACAGATTTCCTCCTTCCTGACAACTGAGCAGTATTTCACTCTGTGTGTGTGTGTGTGTGTGTGTGTGTGTGTGTGTGTGTGTGTGTGTGATCTTCTTCATCTGCTCCCAGTCGGTGGATGGTCACTTAGGTTGAGTCTACACCTTGGTTAACCTGACCAACGCTGTGATGATGTGGACGTGTGATATTCCTGCAAGAGACTGAGTTTCCTGGAATATATCCGCGGAGGTGTGGTTGCTGGGTGCCGCTCTGTGTTCCATAATGGCCGCTCCATTTCATATTCTCTCTGAGGTTCCCTGCCCCTTTCGACACTCGCTGTTTGCTTTCGATGACACCCATCCCGTGTGTGTGTGTTTGTGTGTGTGTGTGTGTGTGTGTGTGTGTGTGAGAGAGAGAGAGAGAGAGAGAGAGAGAGAGAGCACTGTGGTATCTACTTTCACTCCCTACTGATTAATGGTACCCATGCCTTCTCAAACAAATTGGTTGTGTGCACATCTTTCTCAAAACTCCTTGCCTATTTCTGATGGGATGATTTGTTTTCTTGCTTCAGGTTTTAAGCGCCACTTAATTTTATTTTAAATAGCCGTGTCTGCCTAGTGGCTACTGTACCAGATAGCCCAGCTCCAGTCCGAGGGCTCCGTGCTGGCAAAGGGTCATAAGCGTAGCTCCTAACAGTGTCCCCGTGGCTCAGCAGAGAGCCTGCTTCACACTGGGGCCTCAGTAAACATTTGTAGATGACACTGCAGTGTGATATAATTGGAGAAGGACTTCAGCCACTAGAGAACTCTGTGGCTGTAAGCCACCAAATTCTACCCCGACCTTGAGCCTGCCAGACACCTGCCAATTGGCTCTTTTGATCCAACTGGAACCGGGGATGGGGGGGGCATCACGGGCCCCTTGGAACCTTCAAACCTAGAGTCCACGATCACCAGAAATATACCTGCTTCCCACCAAGAGGAGTTCCCCAACCGACTGAACGATTCCTGGATGAGTCGGTGTGGCCGGTGCTAAGAAGTTCTAAGGCTAGCCCGACAGGACTCGGGGGCATGGCTGTACACTCAGGGCTGGGCCTCTGGGTTTCACTCCGGCCCAATGGTAACTTTTTTTTTTTTTAAAGATTTATTTATTTATTATGTATACAGCATGTATGACCGCAGGTCAGAAGAGGGCACCAGATCTCATTACAGATGGTTATGAGCCACCATGTGGTTGCTGGGAATTGAACTCAGGTCCTCTGGAAGAGCAGTCAGTGCTCTTAACCTCTGAGCCACCTCTCCAGCCCCCAATGGTAACTTTGTGTGGAGATTATGTGATGGCTATTGAGCTGTCTGGCAGGGAGAGCGATTCTGCTGGACACCCTGGGTTCTCCTTATCGCTTATATTATTGGGAAAGTAGGACTACACGAAAGGAAGCATCCCAGTTCAGGGCAGCATCAGGAAGGGCGAGCTGAGCAGGTGGAGGTGGAAGGAGCACAAAGGGGTTCCGGGCGGGAGGGGCGTGGCAGAAGCGGAATGGGAAGGAGACTTGAGGACAGACACAGAAGTCCCCGGGACTGGGGAAGCATCTGTGCAGTGAGTGCCCAAAGGCGTCTGGGGGGAGCTTCAACAGGGATAAGATGTGATCCCAACTGTTTTCTTCAGAGATGGGGGACATCTCAAGCCCTTCCAGTTCAAGTTCCAGCCCTGTGACTGACATCAGGCAGGCAAACCGGCTTTCCCTGAGTCTAAGTTTCCCCATCTGGATAGGGGATGGGAACGTGTGCCTTGCCCAGCCACAGTAATGTTGTGAGGCAAAGCAGATGTGACAGCTCCTGACTGGTAGACATCAGACTTCCATGGAGCCGGAATGGAGCAAATACTGCCTCCATGAACCGACAGTGGTTCCCAAGGGCGTTTACACGAAGAAGGGCTGACCAGTGTGAACAGGAGAGAAAGTAGCAGCTCTTGTAACTGGCCACACTGACTTGGCCGAGAAAACCCTGTAACCTATGGCCCATGGTTCTCTTTCCTCCTGAGAGATTGGTGTGTCCAAATTGGAAGATGCCAGAAGGAGGTCAGCCCAGTGTCTCTCTGGAGAGAATGTGGACCTTGCTAAGGTGCTGGGGTTGACCCATTAGCCTGGCCCATCGGCCACAAGGCCCTGTGGAAAGTCTCCATGAAGAATCAAGGGCATCCCAGGCCTGATATCTTCATGTTCTGTGGCTTTGGGGAAATCACTTCCTCCATGGGGCCTCCAGTTATCTCTATGTGCAAGGTACAATTAAATTAACAGATCTGAGGGCCACATGGTCACATACATGGATGTGGCTGCAGTTTGGGTCCCTAACAATGTGAAAAATCCTCTGGAGAACATTAGCTAGGAAGAACAGTGGTGGACCTGCCTTCCAGGGCAGGCTGCAACAGAGCAGTCTCTGAGGCTATCCCTCTCGGCTCTCTATAAGGAGTATGTGGATGCTTCACAGCGGTTATAACCGGTCTCATTTACAGCAGACACGGCTGTCCCCTTTCCCCGTGGGTAAACTGAGTCCAGAGTGCAAGGCCACTTTCCTCAGACCATATAGTGAAGTAGACCTGAGTCTAAAACTTGAACCCGGATCTGAGATCTGAACCCTCATTTGTAGCATTAAAATACACCACCTAGGATGGAAGGACACCTTCAGGAAGCACGTGTCGATCAACGGACGCAGGTTGGTCAGCAGCACCGGCTACCTGAGCACCCACTATAAGCCAGACTTCTCTGGGGACAAGGCGACCCCTCCCTGGTGCAGTTTAGAGACCCGTGAAGCCAACAGTCACACAGGATAAGCACAACAGGTACCCAAGAGATGCCCCCCACACCCCCTCCCACCCAGCATCCTGAACAAACTGATACTGCGCTTACCCTCTGGAAACTGCCTGCGCTGGTGATGCAGGGGAGCTGATACTGTGAGCCAACACCCTGACCCAAGGCTCTGCCCACTGGGCAGTCTGCCCTGCAGTCCTGTCCTCTGGCACCAGGGTCCTTCTCAGAGCCCTCTGCTCTCTCTTTTTTATTTTCCCTGCCTCACTTCCTCCTTTTCCTCCTTTGTTCCTTCTTCCCGAACCTCGTCCCTCCTCTCCTCTCCCAGACGTCTGACCAGACTGACCGTCCGAAGTCCTCCCTTGCTGACTCTGGCTTCCTCTCCCTTTGGCTTCCGCAGACACCTCCTGCAGGTGGGCAGAGGGCTGCTGGGGTCAGGCTCGTAGTGGGGCCCCCGATGAGGGAGAAGCCCGGGTGGGAAACGGAAAAGCCCCTTCTGGAGGCAGAGGGCGCCTCGGTGTGAAAACCAGTTCTGAACCAAATGATGCGACTTCCTGAAGACAACTCATCTGAGCATCTCGTGGGCCTCAGTTTCCCACCCCCCTCCCCCACCCTGCTTTCCTAGAGCTGTGGAGTGATGGGATCAAATGGGAAGAGGTCAGCTCGCGGTTCTGAGCGGTGAGCTGGGTGTGACCCTTGCCGGAGCATAAACTGTCAGTGCAAAGTGGGGGGGGGCGGGGGGGGGGGCTGGCAGAGCTCTGGACCAAGCAAACCCTGCTGGTCTGCGCTCTCACAGACTCCCATGATCCTCCTGCAGAAATCAGACTCCGGGGCCCTGGCCTTGTTCTTCTTACCCAGGGCGGGCGTGGCCCTAGCCAAAAGGTCTCCCTTACAGATATTCTGGCTATGGTGTGTGGTGTCACGGTGGCCGGTGCCGTTATCTGGGTCATTTGATCCCCGGAATCTGCCAAATCAGATAATTTGGGCGGCCAGCCCGTCTCTCTGGATCACATGTCCCAGCCCTGGCCCTCGTCCCCGCCTGCCCTGGTTCCCCAAACACAATCCCCCTCTTAGGTAGCTGGAAACAAGCCTGCAGTGGGTGAGTTCAGGGCCAGTGCCGGGAGAGGGGGGTCATTTAGCCCTCCATGTGACCTCTCTATCAGTCGACCCATCCAGGGCGGTGATTAAACCTCTGTAACCAGTCAAGGTTACAATACCAGAACTTGCCATTTTTTTTTTTACACTTATAAACCATTTTTAATGAGGTCAGTAGGAGTACAGGTCCAGGCCTTTCTTGAAGAACAAAACCAGCCAGCACCCGGGTCACAGCCACCAAGCTGCTGCTTTACCCACCAGTATCGAACAGCATCCTACCCTGCCCCAACTCTAGAGCTTCTGGACTCCATACAGAAACGGCAGCAGACACAGGAACCGTGGTGGGTCTGCCTCCTTCTGTTTGAGATTGTATGTGTGACATTCACCTGTGTGCTCCTGACAGCCACAGTTCATCCATTATCATGGCTGTATACTATTCCATCAGAGGAAGACAGCACTGTGTAGCTACGATACATCCTGCTGCGTTCGTGTTTGAAAACATAACCATGCGTATTGAACATATTAGTTATTTTTCTCATTGCTGTCTGGACACCCAAGACACCGCCTTGGAGGAGGGTTTATTTTGCCTTATAGGTTAGAGGGATATTGACCATGGTTGTGGGAAAGGCAAGTGGGAAAAGCAGGAGCAGGAGCCACAGGTGACATCGCATCCAGAGCCAGGAAGCAAGGAGACCAGACAGGAAGTAAGGCTTCAAGACCCTCAGTGACCCATGTCCTCCAGAAGCTGTGCCTCCCCTGTAGGTCCGGGCCAGCTGGGGGCCACGTGTTCAAACAGGTGAGCGAATGGGAGACATTTCACATCCATATTAGCGTCAGATGTGGGGCCAGCTAGGAACAGAAAATAGAAAAGATTGACTCTGGAGGTGGGGTGCGGCTCGGTCGATACAGAGCTTACTGAGCACTGCACTGCACAGACAAGATTCTGGATTTGATTCCCAGCACCCTGGGCATTCTTGTGACTCCAGAACTCAAGAGGTGAAGGGGGTGGGGGTGGTCAGACCTTCGAGGTCACCGTCAGCTACATGTCTAGCTGAAGGCTAGCCTGGGATAGCTGTAACCGAACTTAAAGAGAGATGTTCCATAATCTCTCTCATAGTGGTTTAAATGTGCTTCGGGCACATTAACTCTCCTGAAGTCAAGGCCAGGTGTAGTGACTCCGAGCATTGGGGAGGCTGAGGCAGGAGGATCGCAAGTTCAGGGTTAGCCTGGGCTGCATAAAGAGACTTAGTAACAAAAATAAAAAGTTAATTACATCGAGTCGAGGAGATGGCTCCGTGGATAGCACACTTGCTGAGCCCCTGAGCCCATGTTCTAATCCCTAGAACCGGGATAAACCCCAGCTCCGAAGCTCCTGCCTGTCATCCCAGCACTCCTAGAGAGAGAATTCCCCAGGTACTCGCTGGCCAGCGAGCCCGGAGTACAACAGCAGCAAACGAGAGAGACCGTGTCTCAAACAAGGCGGGAGGCGAGGCCTGACCGAGGTCATCCTCCACCACAGGAAACTGTGAGGGCACTCATGGCTCGTGCGCTCTCCACACACATCACACACATACAAAAAGAATCTTTACGTTCAATGAAATAAACAAAACAAAACATCCCTGACCAGTGCTATGGGATATACTCCCCTCTGTTTGAATTTGCTGTGTTGCCCAGGCTAGCCTCAAACTCTCCATCCTCCTGCCTCAGCCTCTGGGATGATAACACTGGGGTCACGGATGCCCACCGCACCGACACCATCATCACCTTTTCATACACAGCAATGTCACGTGCACCACTTGCTCTGGGCCTGAAAATAAATCAGAACAGAAACATCTCGCCGGAATCTCTGAATGTGCTCGCATTCCAGGGCAGTTCGATCACTCGCCTGGGCTGCCAACTGCCACCCAACATCAGTCTGGTCACAGGTGACACAGTGTGCCTAACGCATGCACAGTCAACAGCATAGCAAACTGCTCACAGATGCCACTCAATCTGCACGCAACCCTCATGAGCTGGGAACTATTATCCCTATTTTTAGAAGATGGAAACCCAGAGAGGTTAATTGATTTCCCCAAGGCTGCCCAGCTGGCAGGTGGCAGGGCCTGAGCTTTGTCCTGGCTGTAGCTAACTCCACAGTCCGCTGGCACCAGGATAGTCTGAAGGCAAGTTTCCTCCTTACACTAGAACAATGCCATCAAAGGGAACTACTCACCGATGGACACGGCCCTCTCCACTCTCGCACGTTCTTTCCTTTCGCCTCAGCTACACCCAAAATTAGAGCAAATTCTATTTTTAGAGGCCGTGCTTCGAATGACAGTGACGTATGAGCGGCGACTCATTCTATGAACGTAGCTCGGAGGTGTTGTCTGATCTTGCACAGAGAAACTCTCTGACATCACCTTTTGATCTTTCTGATACGCTTCAGAGGCCGCCGCTGTCTCGCTTGGGTCTTTACTCACGCAGCAGACTCCGGCCTGAAGCGGCAAACCCTGAGCTCTCGCAGAAGCCTTTGGAGAGGACCGAGCTCCACTCAGAAGCCGCTCACCCAGGTCACAGCTGGGATGAGCCTAGAGCACAGCCGGCCCTCAGCAATGGGGTGCAGAAAACCGGGCTCCACTCCTTCCTGGGTCTGTGGTCTGCCAAACCCCACAGCCCCTGCTCATTCGGTGTAGCCAATCGTCTCTTACATGTGAAGACCAGCGACGGGGCTAAGCCGCTCTTGTGGGAGTCCTGGCTGCCCGGAGACACAGCACAGAGGGAGCAACTGGGGCCAGAGAGGTTAAGCAACTTTACCCGAGGCGCCCAGCTAACTCTGGAGTTAGGACCCTGCGAGGGTTCATCTTCGCCGTCTGCCTGGCTGGACTTGGAGTCGCCTCGGATGCACACCCGGCTGCGTCTGGGAGGGTACTTTCCGAGCATTTTAACTAAGTGTCCTAGTCAGGGTTACTATTGCTGTGATGAGACACCATGACCAAAAGCAACTTGGGGAGGAAAGGGTTTATTTGACTTACACGTCCACATTGTAGTCCATCACTTAAAAAGTCGGGGCAGGAACCTGGAGGCAGGAGCTGATGCAGAGGCCCTGGAGGGGTGCTGCTTACTGGCTTGCTCAGCCTGCTTTCTTATAGAACCCAGGACCACCAACCCAGGGTTGGTGCTGCCCACAACCGACTGGGCCCTCTCCCATCGATCACTAATTAAGAAAATGTCCTACAGCTAGATCTTATAGAGACGTTTTCTCAACTGAGGCTCCCTCCTTTCTGATGACTCTGCTTGTGTCAAGTTGACGTAAAACTAGCCAGCTCACCAGGCGGTGGTGGCGCACACCTTTAATCCCAGCACTAGGGAGGCAGAGCCAGGCGGATCTCCATGAGTTCGAGGCCAGCCTGGACTACAGAGTAAGTTCCAGGAAAGGCACCAAAACTACACAGAGAAACCCTGTTTCGGGGGGGGGGGGGACCTAAAAAACAAACAAACAAAACAAAACAAAAAAAACCTAGCCAGCTCACTTTGTGAGGAGAAACCTACCCTGAATGTGGTTGGTACCATCCCACGGGCTAGAGGCACTGAGCACTTGCATTGGCCTCTGCTCCCCAGCTATGGATTCTGTCACCCTGCTTCCCTGATGGACGACAGCGCCCTCAGTCCAGCAGCCAGAATAGACTCTTGCCCCGTGGATGCCTCCGTCAGGTGTTTTCTCACAGCGGCTGGACGCTGAGAATTAGCAAATGACAAATGTGAAATGCCCAAGACATCTGTATTCCAGGCAGGAATGGGGGGGGGGCAGGGGGAGGCTGTCAGATTTCACACTCACGTTGCAAACGTCAGTGGGCATCTCGCTTTATACACGCAGCTCTCCACGAGGCTCAAATTTGCTCCCCCAGCCGTGCCCGGCATCCCTTTCTTCCGAGACGGCGTGCAGTATCGCAGGCCTGTGTCCCCGGTGTGCCGTGCGCTGGCACCCCGTAACCTTCACATTGCCAGTCTAGTAGGTCTGAGTTGCTCCTGTTCCAGATGGGGAAACTGAGGCAACTCAGTCAGGGCCACGCAGCCAGAAAACAGCGAAGCAGGAGAGCTTGAACCCAGTTCTGTTGAGCCTCGCAACTGTCAATCAAAAACCCAAAACCGGGTCTTAGTCTGGGGAGGTGGCTGGGCGGGTAAAGCGTTTGCTGTGAAGCATGAGGGCCTGAGTTCAAATCCCCAGAACCCACGTAAGCAACACAGTGGCCCTGCCAGGGTGTGAGGTGGAGGATGGGAAAATCCCAGGACCGTGAGTAGAAGCTGAGGACTGACACCCCTGGGTTGTCCTCTGACCCCACAGTGGCACCATGTCACACAAGTTCATATGTGTGGGCCTGTGTGCGACGCGCCCGTGCGCGCGCACGCACACACACGCGCACACACACACACACACACACACACACACACACATGAAAATTTTTAATAAAAAATTATTACACCTAAGCCAGGTATGGTGGCTCACATCTTTAATCCTTGCACTCGGGAAGCAGAGAAGCAGGTGGATCTCTATGAGTTCAAGACCAGCTTGCTCTATATCGCGAGTTCCAGGACAGCCAGGGCTACATAGAGAAACCCTGTCTCAAAAAAACAAAATAAGTAAATGAACAAAACAAAATTTAAAAAAATATATTTACACCTAGATTTTTCTAGTCACCCTTGGACCTAACCTGGAGCCAAGCTGGAGCTGCAAACCGAGCTGAGGACCGACATCTCCCGAAGCCCACTCTTGTCTGATGACCCTGGACCCCCTCAGGGACCTCAGCGGGAGTCATCCAGGAGTTGGGCCATTGGCCCAGGGTCACACAAGCTCAGAGAGGGAGTCGGATAGCCCAGAGGCCACACAGCTGAAACTCAGGGCCCGTTAAAACAACACGCTGAACACCCATCAACAAAACTGCCCTTTGTTGGATTTCTTTGAGCTGCCTGCCGGGCGGGCGGGCACCCGGCCAGGGCTCTGAGCAGCGGCGGCCAGCGCGCAGCACGCTCCCGCCAGGCCCCGGCCCTTCGCCGCGCGTCTCGGTGCGTTAGTCCGCAGCCCAAGAGCGGGGCTCAGCGCAATGCTCAACCTGGAGCCCAGGCCTGCGGCGGGCGCGGCGGGAGGCCGGGACGCAAGGAGTTAAGCGCGGGCGGCCGGGCCGGGCTGCGGGGAGGCGGCGGGCGCGGGAGCTCGGGCTGCAGACTGCTCCAGCAGGGCCGGGAGTGCGGGCGCCCGCGTAGCCTCAGCCTCATGCCCCGGCCTCAGCCTCACTCAACCCCAGCCCCGGCTCCGCCGCGCTCGGTGCTCCGTGTTCTGCGATCCATGCTCCTTGCTCCGCGCTGCGCCCCGCTGGGCGCGGAGACCTCGGCGCATCCCCAGGTAAGCAGCGGCCGCTGGTCCCCAGCGAGCCCCGCGCTGCGGAGAGGTGACAGGCGGCTCCGGGGAGATGACAAACTTTCCTCCGGCCGCGGACGCGCTTGGGGACATCCCTGGGGCCGTGGGGCTGCTGGAGCAGCGGGGGGCCTTGGATCAGACTCGCGCACCCCGCTGCCGGTCCAGCTCCCAGCCTATGGAGAAGGGGCAAGCGGTACCTATGAGCCGGCCTTGGGGTGGCGCCCGCACTGGGGAACCAAGCGGCAGCCAGGGCCCCGCAGCGAGGGCTCTGCGAAGCCCACTTTGCAGACTGGCTTCTGTGGGTCCTGAGGGGCGTGTGGAGGGAGAGCGCCACTTGTCCCTATCCAAACCCCACCAGGCCCAAGTGCCCTCCCAGAAGCCCCTCGACTCCTCCCGAGGTCCCCAAGGGGCACACCCCAGTCCTTGAGGCTCCAGAGGGGCTGCTCCTTTAGGGAGAGAAAGAAAGAAAGAAAGAAAAAAAAAGAAATCGAATAGAGAGAGCTGCGAACACTCCTTAATGAGACGTTAAGAGGGGGCCGGTGACCAGGCTGCTGGTATCCTCCTGGCCAGCCCGTGACTGCCCACTTCAGGTCCCTGAGGCTGTCCCAAACCAGATCACCGCTCTGAGTGTGGCCGCACACCTTTCTCCCTAGAGAACGCACAATTCCAAGAAGCCAGCCCTGTGTCCACATTCTGGTGGAGGGCATCACTGTCCTCCATTCCTGCCTGGGACTGGGGTCCTTGGTAGACTTGACGTCCCCTAGAGACGGAGACTGGGAGCTCTTCTGACCATGAGCTGTGTTTGGAAATGATCCCTTGGCCGTGGATTAACCTGCTGCAGGGGCTGGGTGTCTGCCTTTGGGGGAGCAGCCTTGCTGGGGTTCTTAGACAGCTCTTAAGCCGTTAGGTGAGATTTTAAGGACGTCCTGCCTGAGTTTAGGGTTCTGATCTGAAGCCAGAAGCCACTTTCCCAGGTTGCCCACACCCAGGCACTCCTCCGGGGTGTCAGAGTCTGTGCCAGAGATCTTGGGGGAAACCCAGCTCTGATTCAGGAGGTAGCTTCAAACCTGCCTTTGACGTGCTGTGTGACTTAGGGCAAACCACTAGGCCTCTCTGAGCTCAGCTGCCATTTCTCTAAGAAGGAAAACGTGCCATGTAGCCTCAGAGATCCCTATTCAGACCACTATGTGGCCTAGAGCAATGTGGCAGGTGGGATTTCCTCAAAAATCTCAGGGTGTGTGTGTGTGTGTGTGTGTGTGTGTGTGTGTGTGTGTGTGTGTTTTTGCATGTTAGTGTTTAGGAACCCAGGTCTCAAAGTAGATGACCTGAGTGGCGCCGGCCACTTCTCCACTGTAAAGTAGGAGTTTACAGTTCCTACTTCGGAAGGTGCCGGGAGCACCCATCACAATCTGGCAGAGTAAGGGCGCAGTGGGGATGCCCATTTGGAGGTCTTGTGCGCAGATCCTGGGAACCGTTCCCCCGGGGAGGCTTTTCCAGAACCCCAAGGATCCTTAGCCGGGGCCAGGGTCCCAGGTCTCTCCAATCCCAGGATACCTGCAGTCCCCGCCCCTTCTTGCTCCCTTTTAAAACCGCTGCTGGACCAGCTGCTCCCAGTGGGGGAGCCCAGGGCAGTCTGGGAGGGCTGGATGCACCCAGCTGCTGCGTCGTCATGACAACAGGAGATGGAGGTAAGCTGTCTCCATGGCTTCAACTTTGCAGCTGTCTAGGGACCCAGGGCAGGGACATTCTGTCTGTTCCGGGTCAGGCATCCAGTCTGCCTCGGGGCTGGGCATGGCAGGCTGCTGTTCCCGGCAGGAGCGGCCCCCTGCTGGGAGGAGGCCTTTCTGGGTCCACGGTGGGGGTGGGGCAAGGCCAGAGGCTGCAGAGAGAGGGGCCGCGCGGACAGTTTCGTTTCTTTCTGACTAGTTGTGACGCTTCCCAGGGGATGGCCCCGGGTTCTTGCTGAGACCCTGGGTATGGGAGCAGAGTTTGTCCTGTGTGAACCGATGTGCTGGGTGCAGATGGGCAGCTTAGGGACGGATCCATCATGCACTGGTAGAGTTGGCATGCTTGACTTTCAGGACACTAAGAAATGAACAGTTTGCTCTCCTGGTGGACTAGGGTGCAGGGGGCACATGTGTGACGGAAGCCATGTGCAGTCGCTGCAGTCATGTGCAAATGTAGTCATGAGGTGTGTGTGTGTGTGTGTGTGTGTGTGTGTGTGTGTGTGTGTGTGTGCGCGAGTGCACATGTCTGAATAGCCGGGGTGAACTTGACGTCTAATGAGTGTGTGTGCCCATAGGTTTATGGATGTGCACGCTGTGTGTGTGTGCCTCTGAGAGAACTACCTGTGAGTGTGCATGAGGAGTGTGAGGTGAGCTTGTGCTGTGCACTTAGGGACACACATGTCTGTGTGGCTCTCAGCATGTTTCAGGCCTGTCTATACATGTCTAGAGGCACAGCCTGACACACTGGCTCATCCCTCTCTGGGCCTGTGTACATCTCTGCATTCACATCTCTGCAAGCCTCTGCATATGAATTTCAAAGCTTGTGAGCATCATGCCTCTGCACATGTGCGTGTGTTTCTATGGGTGTGCCTCTGTGTTGCCATGGACACTTGTGTGTGTGTGTGTGTGTGTGTGTGTGTGTGTGTGTGTGTGTACACAGACTTACATGTGAGTGTGTGCATGTATGGGACATCGCATGCTTAGTTGTATCATGCTCATGCGTGTGTGTTTCCTAGTGTGGGCACCAACGGTGTCCATTTGAGTGTGCCTGTGTTCTCTGGAATGTCTAACTTTCATACACATCTCCTGTGGGTGAGTGAGCTGCTGCATGTATGTACCTGGGGTATCAGCTTGCAACATCTTGTATGTTATTGCAGTGTGTGCCCTGTGGCTTCTGCATGTGCCTTGTGTGTGTGACTGGGTGGCTGTGGAGGTGTGAACATGTGATGGGAAACAGGGTGAACACAGAGCATGGACCAGCCCGAGCTGTGGTACTTCCATAGTGTGCTTTGAGCTGGGCACCCTGCGAATGCCAGTCTACCTGTGCTACCTCTAAGCTTGCTGGGATGGCGTGTGTATCCCAGGCGCTCCAGAGCACAGTGCATTCCTAGCCTCCTCATCGCCTACACACCCACGTTTCCCTTGCCAGAAGCCCCCACCTAGGACAGTTGCTGCACACAGCTGCTGGGAGCACAGGTATGCATTCAGGCAGAACCTCTGAAAGTAGGCAGCTCCGATGTGCCGAGCATCTCCATGGCGCTTCTAATTAGGAGCAACTTGTTTTCCTTAAATAAACAAATCAAGTGAGGAAAGAAATTGCCGGAGATTAATGGCTCCCCGGAGCAGGTCCAGATGTTTGGAAGGTGGGAACTGGGGTGACGCACGAGTTGGGTCTTTGGTCCTGGGGACCGAAAGGGCGCCTGCTCAGGGTCCTCCGGGTATGGGGGTGGGGTGAGGAGAGAGATGCCAATGAGGAGGGCACAGGCCCTTCCGCAGCCTGGCTGATGCAGGGCCGTGGGATACATGTGTTTCCGGCCCCTTCGCCCCTGTCCATAGCCTTGGCCCTGAGACCTCCTCTTGCTGTTTGATTCACTGAAGGGGCAGGCAGTGTTTGCACTCTTGACCCCCACGGTTGGGTTCAGCTCCCATGACTGTCACTGCCCGTTAGAAGAGGTCGGAGTGACAACCCGTGTGGCCTTGTGCGTGTGAACCTGGCTGACAGGGCTCCTCTGGGGCCACGGCTGCCACTCAACCCAAGTGCGAGCCCAGGGAGGAGCAGAGTCCAGCCTGGTCACCAACAGGTGAGCTGGAGAAGCCATGGGGGCTCGTTTGGCACGCACCATCACCGTGGTCCTAGCTGAGTGACACGGTGGCTGCTGGGTAGGTTTGACTCCCTGATCCTGTCTGACCCTGGTGCTCTATGGAGAGCGCCACACAGTGTGCTGCTCAGGGTGGCCACGCCAGCCCCACCTGCTCTCTGCTCAGCCCAACACAATGACGCCAGCAGATGATACTTAGCACCACATACACTTTAAACACATGTCACCTGTCACTCATGGGAGCCCTGTGAGACAATTTCTGCTACAATCTTCTGTGACGCTCAGAGAGGCACGTTGATTTATCTGGGGCCACACAGCCCAGAGAAAGGCCTTCCTGGGGAATTCACAGAGGCCACCTGATGTCAGAGAGTATATTTTAAATATGATATCATATTGCCTCCCCAGCGCCAGAAGGCAAGCCTGAAATAATAGATGTCAGAGCTCGTGAGACCTTTTCCGATTAGCTCACCCGAAGGATAAGTTGACGGGAATGGATCAAAGCAGAAAACAAGCCAGTGTTCGTAGGAATGTGGGGAAATTTCCCAACCATCCATCAGTCAACCCATCCCCCTACCCACCTACCAGCCCATGCATCTGTCTGTAGATGCAGCTGTCCATCTATCCATCCATCCATCCACCCATCTGTCTGTCCACCTGTCTGTCCATAGACATATGTGCTCATCCATCTACCTATCCATCATTCACTCACATATTCATCCATTTGGTGTCAGTATTTGCTGATCCCGGTGTTTGCTGAGATTCCTCTGGGTGACATGTTCTGTGCTGGTCACAGTCGTTACATTGATGAGATTCCCAGCTCTGTCCTCAGGGAGCTCATGGTCTGGAGAGGCAGAAGGGCCTGGGCTCTGGAGGCACCTGAGGTCCCTGAGGCAGGGCTGTCCAGCCCCCCATGCTAGCTTTTGTGATGGAGGACATGCTCAGCCCTTTGCAAGTACCTGGCACATTTCACGCCACACTAAATGGCAGTCCTCCCCTCCCCTGTATAGATCAGACAGCCAAATGGCACAGAGCAAAGCTCTCCTGGGCGGCCAACTCTGGGAGGGTAACCCTTCATCCTGCTCGGAACCCAGGCTTCCTGGATCAGGACTTTCCAGGCTAAGTCTGGAAAAGTTCCCTCACCTCAGGACACCCTCCTCAG